GACAAAAATATTTACATACACATGTGTTTTGTTATCTGCATTTTTATGGCGACATTAACTTTCGCGTATAATTTATACAGAGTATTTGTTGACCTAGTAGACACTTAACTGTGACGATGGTAATTACGATAACTACTATTGTGGTTTGTTGGCAGAGAATACAAATTTAAAATACATAATTTTAATTTGATCGTACCTGCTCTGGTAAACTTTATAAATATTGAGAGCATTCACCGAATTATCCAATTTGGAACGTTGAGAATAAATATTTGTTTGTATTTGTGTATTCTTAAATGATGAATGTCCATTGCACTGCACCGAGTGGGCATGTTTATTTATATATACAACTTTCGTTCTCACAAAGACACATTACCGGTAGAAGTTTTTTTTCCTTGGTTTGTGGAGAATGGATATCAAACTGACAAATCAAACTCGGATCAAAATTATTTGGCGATCGTGCGATTAAACATTTGAAATATGGGTATCCTAAGAGCTCCGTCACACGTGTAGTTTGACATTAGCAGCCCTTCTGAAACACTTTAATGAAAGTATAGTTCACAAAATTCATATTTTCACTTACCTCTTAACATCTGTTTTAATGCAACTAGCTCTGTAGGCACGAGCAAAATCTAGTGTTGATGTAAATATCCATTTAGTTCATGTTTCCCCGGTGAAAATATAGTCTATTCCAAAGCTGATTTCGACGTACTTTAGCTTTTCAGAAACCGCCGGCCTTCCTCAGTGAGATTATCAACTGTTTCAGAAACATGTTTGATCGTAAACAGCTAAAATATTCTGCGAAAGTCTATATTTTTGTTCTTCGACGCGAAAATGGCAACTCAAGAAGAAATGAGCCGCTATTTTTGGTCAGCGTCGACAGATTGCTTCAGATCATGAGAAACCGCAGGATTAATTGGTAACCATAGTTTTGTGTCAAAGTTGGTGAACTGATGACATCTATTAATTATCGAACCTTGCTACTTATTTGTAATAGTATCTTTGAAACAAAACTTCTTTTAATATTAACTGCTGAATTAGTTTCTTTAATATTTCGACTTCATATTACACATTGCAAATTGTGGTCGTCATATACAAACAAAAATCGCGCGCCAAATTCGAATATTGCACGCCAACACACTAGCATTCGAGGCGCATCAATGGACGATGTTCAAGCGAAAGTTTGCGCACAACGTAGATGATAAGAAAAATTGGTATGCATACAAATTGATACAATAAGTCGCTTCTTAGTAAAACATTCAAGTGTTTTCCATCAGAGATTAAACGGGTCAAACTTGAAGACTTGCGAGACGACGAAGGTCGCCAAGTATCGCATCGCCGTTTCTTTGCCGGGGTGACTGAATACGTTATAACTGGCACAACAGATGTTATGTTTTCGACGCTTGAGGCAAGTAAGGCATTCGAATTAGTGCTATCAGAGCAAAGTCGGCTGCTGCTATTACCATGGTTATAATTGAACAAACCTTATTTCTGCGCGAATTGTACTGATTATATATATATCAACAGACCGCAAACGGCAAACAGTGCACGAAATCTTCTTGTTTTAAAATCGGTAGGCAAACGCCAAAGCTAGCGCAAATTTGTGTTTATATTATAAAGACTAATTTAGTTCAGAAAGATGCAGTCATCTTTTGCTGACAGGTTTAGAAGATGTAATCATCTTTGCTATAATCAGTTGAACCTAAATTTTTATAATATATAGTAACACATCTAATTATGCATGAATCATTTTATATGATATTGCGGTTGCAGCTGATACGGTAGCTATATAGGTCTGTCATAGCTATAATTCAACAAGCCGTATATATTTTCTGCGCGAATTGTACTGACTAGAACTGGCCAGACAAATAGAATGGCTATGTCAAGACTAGAGACCGCAAACAGTACACGAAATCTTTTTGTTTTAAAATCAGTGTGCAAACGCCAAAGCTAGCGCAAATTTGTGTTTATATTATAAAGACCAATTTAGCGAAGACTCTTGTGTTCAGAAAGATGCAGTCATCTTTTGCTGACAGGTTAAGAAGATGTAGTCATCTTTGCTTAATCAGTTGAACCTAAATTTTTATAATGAAAACACATCCTATTATGCCATGTGTTCTATGGAATTGGTATATATGCAAATATTCATAACTCATTAATAAGCCTTTCTGCGCGAGTTGCAACTACATGTCATGGCTATTCTCATTTAGAAATTAGAATCTAACCAAATAAAACCTATATAGGATATAACTGAATACCCTCACGAGTACAGGCTTCTGTAAGCAAGTTCCAACCGTCAATATCGCATGTTCAGCTGCTCTATATCATAATAAAATGTTTGTATTGCATTTCACGGGATTTCACAAGACTGGTAACTTATTTCTAAATATTGAACTAAACGCCACATGCTAATTTTCATATACCCACTGTGAACAGAACCAGATTGATGACTGCTTTGCCTATTAATTTTATTGGGATTAGGCATAATTGTGGATTTTGTGAGTTTTTCGGCCGGGTAAAGGGCAATAAATTTGTGGGAAAAAATTCTGAACCGGGTTGACGTTGTGAATAACACTTCATTTTATTTGTTTATTTATGAACTACATGTTTGTAAATAAAATACATTATTTTGAGTTTGGGAAAATTACCACAGATTTTTATCATCATTTAATTACACGTCGTTTTGCGCGTTGTGAAAGTTAGCCTGCGGTGCAGACGCTTCGTATTTCATGATGAAAGGGTTTAAACGACTGGAAATAGTCTCTCTTCTCGATGGAGACGTGTTTACAACATGGACAGTTGGCCAAAAGAACTGCGTTTAATTCTTTGGAAGAAACCGCTTTCGGATAAAGAGGCATTCAAATTGATATTGTTCTTGGTAGGAAACGGTTGCCCCTCATTGGTTGGCAGGGGGAAAATGACAAAGCGTTGGGAACAAAGTAAATGAATTAACCTGAATATGGAAGAAATATGCATTATTGGTTCTATTATGATATGTTTCACAGCAAATATATCTGAATGGTGACGAGAGACAATTGACAAGAATTGTAGAAAATCCTCAATGCCAATGGGCAATGGAGAATTGTAGTCAATATCGACAGTCATCAGTTGTTAATGTTATGATGCTAAAGTAGAAAAACTTGAAAATATGTTTGATAACCTGAATAAACATGAATGACCATGTTCCAAACACAATTAGAATAGGTTAGAGATAACGTTGAATAAATGACTAGATGTGAACTATTGATAATATTAATATATAGGAGCTTATATATAGGCTAACAATGAGAATGTGTGTTTATTCGTGCTTTTTTGGAGAACGAGGCATACACATGCATTGATATATTATTTAGAATGTATAATATACATGAGGTAATAACAATGAAAATATATGTTCATTCCTTTTAGTTTCGCCTTTTGGTGAACGACGCATACACACTACATACACATGCATTAATATATTATTTAGAATGTATAATATACATGAGGTAATAACAATAACAATGAAAATATATGTTCATTCCTTTTAGTTTCGCCTTTTGGAGAACGACGCATACACACTACATATATGAAAATGTCAGTAAACATATATGAGCTATTGTAATAACAAAACACATTGCATGATAAATGAAAATGTAAACGTATGTACAGTAATAAGAATGAAAATATCTGTTCATTTTCACCATACGCACGATGTGCACGGATCGTACGGATTTAGTGGGCATCAATTGCATGATTAGTGTTTGTTGCACTGTTGGAGGTAAACATGCACAGCTTGAGGTTTTTTACCATGTGTTACGGATCGTGAAGTATATTCACGATCTGTGTTGCATCGTGATTGTTTGACCATGTGTTACGGATCGTGAACTATATTCACGATCGGTGTTGCATCGTGATTGTTTGACCATGTGTTACGGATTGTGAACTATATACACGATCCGTGGCGCATCGTGATTGTTTCACCATGTGTTACGGATCGTGAACTATATTCACGATCCGTGTCGCATCGTGATATTGGACATGTATGAAAATTTGCGTAATAAAGTCGTTATTTTTGTGAAATAATAACCAACTTGGAAAATGCAGTCAATTTAGATCCGATTCGTTTGCGAGTTTGCTTTAGAAAATGGCAGAAATGCAGTCCTGGAGCTTCAAAAATATAAAAATTTTCTGGTGAGGGATCCCCAGAACCCCCCTTTTCTTAGTACGACAGTGGAAATCAATCAGGAAAAGCTCTATTATAATTGTTACACATTAAGGAAAATTATTAACATTGAAATTTCAATTTCAGGTAAAATCCTACGACATACCCCAGCTCCCGTCCAACTTCAGATGTTTCACTACGTCCCTGAAAGTGCGTTGCGAATAGCTGCGCAACTATGGCTATTTATTATTCCCCCCAGTTTGATACGGATCCAGGGTTGTGAGTTATGCATGTGAATAATGTGAATAATGCAATTATATATTAAGTAATTTAATTAATTTCTCGCCTTAACTGTTGCAGGCTTCAAGGACGAGGAAACGTAACCAAAACGAAGCAGGACATAGAAGAAAATGATGATACAAATAAAGGAAATAATAGTTACAGCTAATTCTATATGTTGCATGTAGAATTGCCGCATCTTATGCTGATTGCGTCTAGAAATCAGACATTTTCCAAGACCCATTGCTTGACCAGTTAATGCCCTACAATTAAATGCAATTCCTCTGGTTTTGAATGTACGTAATATATCAAATTTTGGAAGTCACTGGTCCATGGCTGTGGATAGTTGAACAACTAATTACCTCGATAGACTTAGGCTACTACTAATTATCTATTTTTGTTGCAGAGTCCTAGCCAAAGCCGTGATACCATATTTTGCTCCTATATCTAGTTCAATCAAAAACAAAAGAGAATCCCAATCCTTAAGACTATACTTATATTGGCTAAGATTTCTGGCCAGTCAGATGCACAAAGAGAGACGTTGTTGAAATTAACTTCAGTTCTAGTGAACGTAGATTATACCATACAGACAGCCTAGACCTAGGCCTAAACTCGGCTGGTAATTATTGCAATGGTCACTTGCCTGTAAAGGCCTAGTAGATAGTTTCAGAAGTTCTCAAATTAGCCCGATAACTTTGTGATCCGAAATTGATCAGAAACCAACAACTAAAGCAATTTATACTGTCCAGTAGTTATTATAAATTAACTATAAAAACATTTTATGACTAAACTAAATTCTATTTTGTAGTAATATTTTGACTCATTTTGACCTTTCGCAACATAATAATAGTGTAGCTTGAAACTTTATGATAAGACCCCGATTTTCTAGGCGTGTATACAAATAAAAATAGTACGTTTATACTATAAATGAGTTTATTTTACCTGTATCGGTTTAAATTCGCTGTTAAGTTGCAAATAATTCTGTTTGAGAACACAATAATTGGGCATTTCGCAACCAGGGCAGTTTTAGGGCAGTTTTGGCCTTGTTGTTGGGAAATCCACTAGGCCTTTTATTTTTTCGCTTGCGTCATCCTCCGCCCCGCCCCCAAATCACCTAGTCCCAGTCTTTTCATGTGAAAAATTTTGATAGAAATTTGGTAAAAGAGATTTTTTAGTAAAATTTTGGTAAAATTTCTTAAAATTCAAGGATTTGGTAACTTTTCTGGTGAAATTCTATTAAAACGTTTGATGATGACCAGAAAACCCTGCAAAGTGCGAACTACATGCCTTCTGCTTCACTTCTGAATCGGAGCCTGTATTGTTTGCTCATTGCATGCTTCAGGTTACGTCATTTAATTTGTCACCTCTTTTGAACGAATAACATGAAGTAGCGCGCGCAGCTGAAAATTGGGCATTTGACGAATTTCATTTCGAAATTGCAAACTTACATACATTTAAAAATATGGATTTAATGGATAGTATTTCGTCTGAATCAGACTCTGAAACTGATTCAGACACAATACTATCCATTAAACCGCCCCCCCCCCAGGAGTGGGATAGGTAAAATCCAAATCTGGTAAAATTTTGGCCTATTTAGTAAAATTTTAGCAAAGGTTTAGTAAAATCTGCTAACAATCATCTGGTCGCACTTGGCCTAGGTATAGGCTGCCATACAGAGAATGCAGGGATCCTTACATGTTTATATACCTTGCTTATGTTACTCTGTGATCGAGGGTATCGATCATTATGGATAAATTATCTCCATGGAATGATATCCCCTCCATTAAAACATCATCATATTGAATATTGATAATACTGCATGTGTCTAATGTGTATTTCTTCTGCATTTTGCAGTTTGGAGATGATGAAGACGAAGTGGCAACCTTATCTAAACATCATTTATAAATTTTGAAATTGTTCGTTGGAACAGGCAGAATTGGTCTTAGCACACAAGGAGATATTTATTGCTACAGAGTAAAAACTACATATTCATGGTACCAACTGGAGGATATGCAGAGTTCATTAACTTTCTTCTTTTCGCATATAATATTTGTAATATGCAACATCCCACTGAATGTCCTAATATTTACATATTCATGCAGCAAAAACTTCTCCAGGTATTTGATAATTAAGTGAAGGTAACTTATGATACTTATGGCAAAACTATTTAAAAGCACATAGTCAAAACTCAAGATTCATGTCGATTTTTTCACACAATATTTTAACAGCACCATAAGAGATATGTGTTTTAGCATTGCCATTGGTTGCAATAGTATTTTAATCTAAAGTTCATAAATACACTTCATTTTTTTTTTTAATTGTTTTCAGTTAAGTCATTACAATTTTGTACCTTATTTATTTTGACAATATCATTTTATACTTTTTCAACGCTAATTTGGTAAGGTGAAAAATTAGTGTTGATTTGTTTTGTGGACATTGGCACTTGATCAGTGTTAATTTGCTCAGGTAAATTAACGCTCTAAATGAGTGTTTGTAACTTGTAAGGTGTAAATTAACACTGAATCAATGTTAATTTGTTTTGCGTGAATGTATAAGTCGAAATCATTGTAATGGTGTAAGGTGTAAATCTACCTTAAAACGGTGCCCACTGGGCTGCAATGAATTTACGCCACTTTGGTGTTATAGCTACAGCTGGAAATTGTGTAAATCTACATTTAATTAGTGTAATTGCATGTGTAAGGTGTTAATTTAAACTAAATCGGTGTCCACTGGGTTGCAATAAACTTTCAAAATTTTGGTGCTGTAGCACACCCAGAAATTCAGAGTGCAGATCAAAAAATCAATACCATGTGTCCAAGTAATGACCCCGAATCAATATGCCGATATGAATAATTTTATGATTGTGTTGCATCAAGTACATCCAGTCTTTATGAGATAGTCTACAGTATATATAATGAATATTACTGTACGTGTTATAAATAAAGCGTGATAATGAAAAAGTGTTCAATGGAGTTTAAATTAGTTTTGCATAGTTTTCAGTACTTTTTTCTGGCTATGGAAATCTACACTACTGTATTAGAGTGACTTTACAGGACAATTGATTATAAAGTATTTCAGTTGATTACCAATTTTCCGTTTATGGCTGTTGGTAACTCTAATTATATCTGTCTCGAAGAGAGCAGTAAAATACTCAGAGCAGAGTAGTGGAATATAACAGAATAGATTAAATTTCCATAACGGTCATTTCTGTGAGATATATCGATTTAGCATATACTCTAGAGGTGGATAGCGCTTTTCTCGCAATTTGATTAGTTGCTCATCTCCGGATATCCTTGCAATATTTAACTCCGACCAAATTAATTTATCTTCCCATTTTGCTCCAGTTGCAGACCAGCAAGTTGTTTTTTTACTAAACGCCGTAAGCCGTAAGTATTCTTGCCAAACACAACAAAAGCAACAACTTCTTGTTTAATAGTGTGTAGAAGTTTTCTTTAGAACTATTTTTAGTGCGTGAAACTAAGTAAAATTAAAAAACTTGTAAATGCTGTTTTGTTTACAACTATTACTGGAGTTGCAATACAAATAAAAAATATTTTCTTTGGTTTTTGTAATTCTTGATTTGTATGATAGGGTCCTTTTGCTTTTTTATGGTATACAATTATTTAACTTCAGTGTCGGTGCATGAATAGTGCTAAGAAAATGCACCTCGACGCTTCGCATCTTTGTGAATACTTAGCACTATTATATTAATCTCCAGTTTGGTGAATAATTTGTTAGATATACATGAAAAGCAATAAAGATATGGAAAGGCTTGGTGTCACACAAACCGTATATTTTCTACTAGCTGTCGGTAAATAAATTACATAGACATACTATATCTCCCCGTGTTTGTCAATGAAAGAACTGCCAAATATTATATACTCACCGCAATTATACTTGCAAGCATGGTAAAAGAATAAATATTCTAAAGTTTCCGTCTTTTTATGGAACGCAAAATTGCATTTAATCGGGACAAATTTACATACATGAAATAGATTACAATTCGATAATCAGGTTTGATTCATTATGAGTATTGTTAGCGTGTTTGTTTAAGAGAACACAATTTTGAGGAGTTTTGTCTTAGGCAAATTACTTGTTTGTAAAAATTGTCAAATTTATTGCGATGACAAAATTTACAAAAATTCCTAGAGCTAGCTAACTAACTTAGTACTAGCTACGTGCCTCCAAAATGGAACATAAGAAATTATTATGTTAACCAAGACGAAATCTGCATTAGGCTTTCCCTCAAGCTTTCATTAATTAAACATTCATATTTTTTTTACTTTTTGAATTATTGTCTTTTTTAAATAAATTTGTATGCGTTTTATTTACCACTGGTAATCTCAAATGTTTTAGGGTAAAATGACCATAGCGGTCAACATGGCATATGTGCCAAAACCTTAATCCAGAACGAAAGTCTTGAAAATGACCCTGCCCTAAAACAGCAGTGCCGACATAACTCTAACTTGCCAAAAGCGAGAGCTTTTCTAAAGTGTTTGGAAAGGTTGAAGAAAATGACCATGTACCAGAACAACTGCAAACGTATTAAAATGCTTTACTTAGTGTGGGCTGGTGTGTGTTATTTGAGATTAGCTTAGTTTGTTTCGCTGCGAACGTCTGAGATATGATCTCACTGCTTAAAATCTTTTCTGCGCTGGAGAAGAGCTGCTATCCCGGCCTGACTTGAGTTGGCGGCATAACAGGTTCATATTTTTTACAGTAATACTTGTAAAATATTAATTGTTGCTTAATATGATCTTGAATGTTTTAAATTTCTTAGTCTTTAATAATTATTAATACGATTTATTTATTTTCGGGTTGTCCTTCAAGGTGGACAACCATTTACCCCCCGTTGCACATATATTATAGATATAAATATTATTCTTTCAGTTTTAACTTTTTTGACTTTTATACGTTCCCTATTAGTACAAATGGAGGTAATCTTTTTGGCCACAAATTTAACAATGGAGATTATTTTTGCTATGTGACTCTACATTAGCTGTACGTTGCGAGAATAATCTACATGTTTCTATTAATTAATGTTCTTTAACCATTTATCATTATGTAAAAGTACAACAAGTGGATGATAATTGCGAGACTTGGCAATAAAAGCAAACAACACGGCAAAATAGCTCTATTGCGGATTCGGAAATCGAACTACTTGGATTTTCTGTAAATTGCCTTGACCGGAAAGAAAACCGCAGGGGAGGAGGAATCGCACTGTACTTATCAAGTACGTGAAATACTCACTCAAATACACCAGGGCCCTGTTGTATAAAAAAAGTAATTAAAGTTAACTTAATCACTATAGACCAATTGCGAAACTTAGTGGCCGCGCCTTCATACTGCACGAGAACGAGGCTTATTATGCAAAAACAAAACAATTTCTATAATTTTACATAGCGAAAAGTGAATTTTAGGGTTTTTAAAGTGTTTTTTCTTGAATCTCTTTGATCTTTTCTTAATATTTCGTGCTAGGTTATATAAATATTTGTTAAATTTATCTAAACATCGATTTCCCACTATATTTTTACCCGCTTTGGAGAGATATTTCGTTGTTGTTTTAGCATGCGATGGAACAAACATATGGAAAAGATCAATCTAGACTTTAAAATCTGATCAAGATGCAAATAAAATAGCCAGTATAACTTAATAAACTAAAATATAACTCTTTCTACCCAGATTTTTTTAGACTTCGTGCGAGAAAAAACGATTTTGTCAAAGGATAATAACATAAAATTTCTACAAATTTTGCCCGACATTTACTTTCATATTTTTAAAGTTAAAATCGAAAACTTGCTATTATATTACAACTGAAACAAAATTAATCAATGTTACAACTTATTCTTTGAAAAGTATTAATAAAACAGACGGAAAATATCTGATTCTTTTTCTCTGGTATAATCTGCTTCTTTTATCGGACGGCGAAAAACAGCAAAATTTTGCCTCGCACGCCGCAAAAAAAAAAAAAAATTTGAAGTAAGACTAAATCTATGAACAAGTTTAATAAAGATTTACATAGTCAAAACAAAAATATTGAAAAAAAATGAAGAGATTACCATAAAAACGCGTCTCAAATATATAAAAATATAAAAATATAGCAGAATGATTTGTTTTTGCATAATAAGCCTCGTTTTCGTGCAGTTGAAGGCGCGGTCACTAAGTTTCGCAATTGGTCAATCTAACTACAAAATAGTGATTAAAAAAGTGATTAAGAGTTTTATGACAACCGGCAGCAGAAATTTTTTTGGGATCACTTTCCGTGTAAGGCTTGGCAACTGCGACTTTTATTCAGGGTACATATTTGGATTCGTTGGGACATTTGATGTAAACTTGGGGTTATTCAGGTACTTATATAAAGTATATTATACCATTAATTATTATTAACCTTTAGCGGGAAATATTTAAATTCTCCGGAAATAAATACTAACGTGTGTGGCAATAATAGCCTGAAGTAAACTGAATGCCGTGTGAAGTACGAATTAAAATATATAAATAAACGTTACTAGAACTGAATTTCTGCCTGGCTATCAGCTTACACAGTTTATAATGCAAAATCTATAAACGTGTCTTGTTTACATTTTGCATGGCGCGCAGGCAAATTTTGATCTTTGAATTTTGATTATCATGATAAATACATCAGCGCACCTATAACTACTATAAGCATTCGAGTGTGTGGTTTGTCGTTTGCATATTTGTCGGCAAGTATAAACATTCACGTTTTCAACCGAGACTATTTGTGACATACACTCACACTATATTAGTAGTGCACAATATAATACAAACAGGGAATCTTTAAAATAAATTGATAGTTAATTTTACCTAATTGAATAATTTGAATGTGAACATTTCTATCAGTTAAATGAATTGCAAATAATATGTCTATATTTCGAATACGCACGAACGTATGACCTTTATACTAGCATATATTCAAAACAAAAATTCAATATCTCGATATTTATGGTATATTTTGATCTATTTTATAAAAAATTTGTAACGTGTTCTCTTTTTATTACATTTTAACATGGGTACAAAACTTTCGGAAAGACGCGATCAATAATGCGTCAAAACAGCAGCGGTTATGTGAATAAGTATAGAATATATAAGTCGCATCAAAGTATTCGACCGCAATCTATTTCCTGCTGTACAGGCTTCCTGTGCATTCTCGTACCCATTGCCCTTCTTACGCGCGTTCGACCGAGCGCGGCGAGGGGCTCTGGCCAAATCCATAACCGGATACCATAAAAACATGGTATCCAGTTTAACACTGCGCATGCTCAACGTCAATCGCGGATAAACACTTCGGTTTTCTTGGTTGCTTCGTTTTGAAATTTTTTCTCCACGAAAACCCCACAAAAACGGTAGGTTTCGCAAATTTTATTTATTTAAACCAATTAGTAGGTAAGACGTGATGTTCTCAATGCATGTTGATAAAATTCATGGAGCGCTTGTGTATTTTTATTCATATTTACAATAAACTATATACTTCGATGTGGCCAATCAGAAGCCAGTTTGATATGGATTTGGCCAGAGCCCCTCGTCTCGCTCGGTCGAACGCGTGTAAGAATGGCTCTGAGTGCGAGAATGGCTTCCTATGTGGCATCATAACAGGCGCGGTTACCAAGCTCCCAAAGAAAGTGATCCCAAACAAAATTTCTGCCAGCCGGCACCAGAAGATTATGAAGTAATATGGCGTGAAATTAAACTGCAAGAAACCAAGTTTTTAATCGGATGTGTGTGTCGGGCTCCAGATGAAACTCTCCGGAAAGGTACGCAGCAAGAAATAAGCTAGAAGTCGTTATTGTTGGTGATCTTAATTGAGACTGTCCAAACGCAATTTTAAAACAAACAGAGAGGCTGTTGGAATTTACGATGGTCAACGCACTTGAATGAACCTACTCGCGTTAAAATGAACCTACTCGTGTTACGTCCACCACTAGCACTCTCGTTGATGTCTTAATCACGTCAACGCCTAATTTGTTTAAGGACTCTGAAGTTATGATATAACATTAAGTGACTATTACCTTATCTATGGTGTTATGCACGGTCCAGCGACCCACTCCAAGAAACATCGGATAATAACAACGCGTTCCTGGGATAACAACAAAGTAAATGCTTTTCTGGCTGATCACGAAACGAGCTCCGTGGAGCCTGGTTGATTCTTTCGACGATGTGGACAGTATGTGTTCTGTATGGGATTCACTGATGAAATCCTTAATTGACCAACATTTCTCTTTAAAGAGAAAGCGGTTGGAAGACAGACCCACTCATGCCTTGATAGCACCACATTCAAGCTCCTGAGAGCACGTGATCAAGTGAACAAAAAGGCAAAACGATCAGGACTGTCTCATGACTGGACTGAATACAAACGCCTTCGTAACAAAGTCAGCGAAATAAATAGAGAGCCAAGAACAGATTACTTCAAAAACAAGCTTGAAAAATATCGTGGAAAACTTAAAGCTTTCTTGGACACATTACGTCTGCTCCTTCCATCCAAGAAAAAATGCAATGAAATTGAAAAGTTAGTGGTTGGTCTTCAAGAGTTAAGTGACAAGCGTACATTGCTAATTCTCTAAACGAATATTTTACAACAATTGCATCCTCGTTGTTAATCACTCACCCATCTCACGAGTACTTTGCAGCTCCACAGCAGGAAAACGACCCAGTCATTTCAAACAACGCTTTTAAATTTCGTGTTTTGAATGAAGACGACGTTTTCAACGTCTTACAAACAATGGATATATCGAAAGCTACAGGAGCAGACGATATTTCGGCTAAAGTCTTGAAGACTGCTGCTTCCTATAGCAGCAACGTTGTATCTAACATATCCAATGCATGCTATCAGTATGGTCGTTTTCCGTCGTCATGGAAAACGGCCAGAGTGACACCATTGTTTAAAGGCAGGTCCAAGACTGATCGTGACAACAGAAGGGCAATTTCCGTTCTGCTCTGCATATCAAAGGCGCAAGAAATATTTGCCAATCTCGATCTACAAGAATTTGGAACGAAGAATAATCTTATCGGCGACCATCAATTTGCGTACGCCAGAAACTCGCCAACTATAGGAGCATTTATTATTACCGTTGACTCGTGGAAGTTTGCTATAGACAAGGGAGAGAAAGTTGTTTGCGCCTTCCTAGACTTGAAAAAGGCGTTTGACATCACAGATCATGATATCCTGATAAGCAAACTATTGAAAACCCAAGTGATAGGAAACGAACTGAAGTGGTTCACGAGTTATCGACACGAAAGGAAGCAATTTTACTTGTCTAGTTCGAAGGCGTGAAGTCGCCGGAACGACGTAAATTACACACGTGGTTTCGCAGGGTTTAGTCCTCGGGCCGGCATCCATATAAATGGGATTGCCCATGGGTGCAAGGATAGTGAGCCGGCGTTATACGCAAACGATTCAGAAATCCATGCCACCTCGAAAGACATTGACGTAGCGGAACAACGAGTCAACCAAGACTTTGCATGTATCGTGATGTGGTGGAATCAGAATTGCCTAATCAGTAATCACCAGAAGTGAGGTGCAATGCTGATTGGATCGAGGTACACTGTCAAGAATACCAGAGGGTTGCAAATTATCCTTAATGAAAACCCAATGAAACAGTCAGAATATTATAAGCACCTAGGTGTTTATATAGATAACTGCTTGACATGGAATAATCATATCACTTACATAAAATCAAGAGTTCATCCAAAACTTAAATTGCTCAACAGAATTTTATATTTTCTTAGCCGCAATGTTTTGCTAAAAATCTACTTTCAAACTGCGCTACATGCGTCGTAAGCTATCGGCTGAATGCGGAAAGGGAAACTTCCAAAGCTTAGAAAAACTACAAAGTAGAAATGTCCGGAAAATTTATGTCTTTGATGTACTTTATAATCTTCGGAATTCTGCAAGACTTCACCCCAAAAATGCTTGAAATCGCATTTCAGGACCCCCCTAGACGATCTCACGCTTTCGGCATGAGCTTCGCCCCCCCTCCCCCCAAAAAAAAATGAAGTTCTGGTTACGCCACTGGGTACAACCACTAGTAGGGACAAAGTTGGGGTAAGGGTAGAAAATCCCCAGGAAATTTTGAGATCTTTGGCTTCTGTTAGGTTTTATTTAGTTCACAATTCTTGTTCAATCATACTGCTGCCATTCATTTAATCAAACCAGCATTTAAATTTCTGGGGTTGGTACAAATTTCTCGAGGTGGGGTGGAAAAACTTTCTGAGATGGTGAAAATATTTTTGGGCATGCACACTACCTGTACCCCCGAGAAAATCCATCTACGATTGCCATCAAATAATTACGTTATTATGGTATGCCTATTATAACTTTGCTTTTGGCTAATTAATGCATTGTCCCATGCTTTGTAATACCTATAACCAATAATTCCTGCGAGATAAAAGACAACAATCAATATACATTAATATTATTACACATTCTTCTACCTGAAAAACAGCATTTATTAACAAAATTCTTCTCATCCATAAAACTACATGTGTACCAATACAGGTCCTTTTACATAGTTCTGAAATGGCAAATCATTATCCACTAGTTTAAATTTTGGGTGGACAGGACAGGGTGGACTGAACCACCTTTGAGAAATGCTTAGATCTATTGAGAAATGGGGAAGCTAGGGGATGTGTGGAAAATATAATAATTAACTGATACTGCAAATTAACAAGACATTTAATCAACAAGACATAAAGTATCGGTACATGATTGTTTTAAAATTATTCTTGCTGATTGTTTTTACTCAGCTAGCGAATTTGATTGCATTTGAGGGTTCTGAGAGGCCTCGGATTTCAAAATTTCCTGAGTGAACGTGTGCGCAGACCTGATATAAACAGGCTTATGCCTTCGACATTCACAGCCATCACCGGCCCACACTCCAATTTCTTGATGACGCCATAGATTGTTCCCCCCACCTGTTTTACTGCTAAACACATCAAATTTAACAGTTTCAGGAATCTCTAACATTTGATTAGATGGCAAAATCGAATCAGTCAATTTATTGAATGTGGGCCAACAGTCGTTATTAACAGTATATGACTATATTTTGATGTCATATTTAAACAGGTAAATCCAGTATATAGTGTTCCTGGCTATTTTGACCCCTATACTCCCTGAGTCCTGGTCTATATTAATTGTATTAATAAATGATTTTCACGCCATTAATCTGTGAAAACATATTCGCCCAAACGGGTTTATATATGAGGATGCCACAAATTATAAATTAAAATACAAAGTTGGCAAAGACACATCGCCAGAGCTAAAACAAAACAGTAAATCTTATGACCACAAGGTTTTTTATGGTTTTTATGTCCAATATTCAAATATTTTCACTTCATATTGACATAAGTGAACGAGTGTTGAGTTTTGACAGAATATTTTTATAATTTCGTACTACCCGTTATCCAAGTACCGTACATCTTACCTGCATAAAGAATTACTCATCCTTTATGGAAAACAAGCACTTTAATTCCTTCCAAGTTGTAAAAAAAACAGCAAAATACGAGAAGATATTATGTTTTTAACAAAAAATACTGTCAAAACCAGGGGGGGGGGGTGACAACGTCATCTGAAGCTCAGGATTGTGGTTGGTCAGTGGCAACTGCGTGGGAATTTCGGACCAGTTGTCATGGAAATGGCGTTAGCAAACGTTAAACTCCGCCATTTTTTTGGCTTCATTTCGTTGACTCAACGAAGTATAGGAGCAGGTCCTCCAGTTATTATACAGCTCAGTGGACATGACATGTACTCAGGAAATACGCGCTAAATTATATTTATTGTCACTGTACTGGCGTTTTATAGCGGGGTCATTTTCAGGACTTTCGTTCTGGATTAAGGTTTCGGAACATATGCCATGTTGACCGCTATGCTCATTTTACCCTAAAACAGTCAAGATTGTTCGTGCTAAATGGAACGCATTCAAACTCATATAATGGTCATAGACTATACGTATAGTTGACGGAAATATAATTAAAATAAATTTATTGTTAAAAATACATTTATAAATTATGTTAATAACGCATCATAAAGGTCTTCAGTCCTCAAATCAATATAACTTACCCTACTGTCGGATCCATTGCTATATCGATGTTCGTAACCCCTGCTTCTGTCAGCTGTCTTTTCTTTTTATTATGCAAATACATTAAGTAAATCCGCCCCTCTGCCCAAGTTCTCCAGAATAGTCTACGTGTTATCCAGTCAAATTCCATCTTCCAAATATTAGCATTTTCCAAAAAAACTTCAACATCGGTGCCATCAAGGTTAGCCCTGGATATACTGCTGCCGTTTCTGAAGTATATTTTCATTTCCGCTTTGTCAGTTGCCATCCCGTAATTCTCTTTAAGTCCAGGAATAACGACAGTTTTACCATGAGTTAGCAAATCAATTGCGTCGATTCCAGAATTTTCACCGATAAACAGATATGGTTCTGGGTATGGCCCTGATGAAAAGAACAGTCATCAAAAGAAAATATATAATTTAAATTTGTATCAGTTGTCAAATGGCGCATAAAATTTGTTTGATACATCGACGCACCAGTAACACGTAATGCCACATATCACTCAGAGCACTAGGATATCATCCAGTATAGCTTGGGATATCATGTTGTATCGTAGGATACCATGCATACAGCATCTTAGGATATCAGCCAGCATCTTAGGATATCACATTGTGTTTTACGATACTACCGAATATCATAGACCATTTTAGGATCATCTACGGTATATTGGAAAATCATGTCAGACAACTGACATTTGAACTAAGATTATTCTTTGGATGTAATATTCGGATTTTTAAAGTAGATCTGACAGCCAACATACAGTTTAAATCCATAGGTATATCATTAAAGTGGTGACACCAATATTAAGACTTGTCGAAATTATGGAAGTTTGTTTAAGAATATTTTAATTATTTCAAAAGGGATTTTTAAAGAAAATTGCCATCTATGTTTTGGAAGCCTCGCATATCGATTTTGTCCACGAGAAATATCATATGGACATCTGTCTGGATATCACCAACCCCCCCACCTTCTTAGAAACGTAACACATAGTTATCGATATTTTGCTCTTACAGTACACATAACTTCATTATGTAGTTTCAACGGTCGGCTATTGGCGATGCTTCCGCGAGGAATATGTCATCTTCTGCAGATTTTTTTGTTAATATATGAACTTAATTTCCAACGTTTCTAAAAACAACTTTTTTGCATGAAATATTGACAATTTTAGCGCGTCATGAGTGTTTCAAGGAAGGCGTAATAATATAAATGTATAGAACAGGTATTTCGGGTATGGTATTATGAATGTATAGACAGGTGTTTGTATCAAGTTGCTTTCTTTTTTATATTCTGCAAATACGATTCCGATATGTTCAGGCTTTCAAAAAACTATCGATTTTTTCAATGATGTTTTACAGAGAAATGTCACCGTTGCAAACTCCCCACCCTCAAAGTCCAGGCAAAAAATAGAACAATGTCTTGAATTCACTTTTATTGGCAAAAGTTATGGAAAACAAAAAGGTTTTGGCAGTCCCCCTGCTTAGGTTTCTGAATCTCTGGCTCTTACTAACATTTTATAAGAAGGGCCGTAACTAGACGCGATAATTGGGTAGGGGCCGGGGAAGGTGCATCTTTATTGCTGACGCAGCGAGCGAGCCTGAAGCGAGCGAGCAAGTCAGCAGTTCTAACTCGTATTGGGCTCTGAAAATAAGATTTTACTTCCGTTTCTCCGACCACAATGCATTGCTGTTAGCCGACCAGAATGCTTTGCATGCATGATGCTATAAATACGGGGAATCTCATTAATCAGTTTATATAAGCCGGTAACGATACAGTTCTTTTGGTGTATTTTGTATTTTGTATTTCATTGTATGCCTGGTCTGGGATAGTCTAAATGGCGCGGGTCGCGATTCAATAGATCATGGCGCGGGTCCAGCGAAAATGGCGCGGGTCCAGCGAACATGGCGCGGGTAACAAGTTCCGAGGCGCGAGTAAAAAGTTCCGAGGCGCGGGTAACAAGTTCCGAGATCAATTACCCGGTACTAAATATATTCAAGATGGCGGCTATTTTGACTAAAAATTCTGCAATTATTCGGAAAAATTAATTATATTCCTGGTTCAATTGAAGAAGAAGAAATTGAACATTTGCATCAAATTGGACTTCCACTTTAATGAACAACAATAGACTGTTTTTGAGGTTTATCTAAACATTTTATCTTAACTAAAATAATGTAATAGCGATGATAACAAATTATTGTTTAATTAATTAATACATGAAAATTGTGTTTTATTTTGACCAAATCCATCTCATTGGACTTCTATGCAGCTTGACAGGTTTTCAAAGTAGGTACCTCCAATGATTTTCAAATGTTTATATTGTAAACATTAAATTATTACTATTAAACTGTTTATCATTGACATCATTACAAAAATGATGAAATTCAGCAAGGCAAGCCAGTCCATCATTTTTGCAATGATAAATAGTTTAACAGTAATAACTTAAATAATGTTTACAATGGATGCACTAGTTTGACTCAGGGTCATCCCCCAAAAGTTTTTTTTCTAGGGGGTTTAATTTAAGGTCATTTCAACCGACTGACCCTCCTGCATACTTTTGTCGACCAAGATGGCAGTCTTGGCGACTGATAAAATTTCACCCCTCCCCCCGTAGTTCCGGCCCTGGTTAGACTTGTGTAACAAAGCATTCAAAATACAAGCTCAAATTAACACTAATGCATCGATCAATTCCAGCTGTTACTACCCCTCCCCCCCGGGCAATATCCCCGGGATTTGTACTTTTTTCCTAAACATGTAGTAAATTCCCCACCCCCGGTCCTTTCAAAATGAACAATTCCCCACCCCGGGGCATGATATCAATAAACGCAAAATTAGTAACTGAAACCCTCGGCGGAACACACATATCGTCTATAAGGCGTTGAAATGCGTAAAAAAATTATACAAAATGTTATTTTTAACAATAGTACAGAAATTAATATGTTCATTAAAATTCCACGTACAAGAATTTAGCAGACTGCATGATAGTGAAATACATTTTCTATTTATATTGCTCCTATTCGCAAATTCGCAGGACATTCCAGCAAAAGAGTTTATAGCCGCCATTTTGATGCGCAACCAA